AGTGGCTGAAAGAGCTTTGGGTCTAGTGAGTGGGTGGCAGTTTGAAGGACAGATGCCCAGGTGGGAGGTGTCAGTCAGCCAGTTAAATACAGCAGTGTCAGAGGTCTGGGTTGGGGAGAAAAGTGGCAGAGAAGGGGCCCCCTCCTTTAATCCTCCGCATAGCTAGGACGCATGCCTGCCCTGGTTTCCTCCCTGCCCTCCGCCCCTCTCCTGAGAAGCAATGTGAAGGCCAGTTGGGGCCTTCAGGGGATGTGCCGGGCAGATGTTCCCATGTGCACTTGGCATGGGAAAGACAGGACTGATGTGTTCTTGGGGACAGCGGTCCTCACTCCTACTCTGCCCTTAGTGTCCTCGTCCAGTCCAGACAGGGTGGGGCAGGTGGGTAGCCCAAGGCAGGGCAGCCCAGACTCAGAAATATCTAGAGGATCTTCACCACCGCCCATGTGCATCCGAACCTGATTTTTGGGTTCCCTGTGGCCACTGTAGCAGCGTGTGAACTTGATCCTTGAGCTCCTGCTGTAATCCTTCCTCCCACCCCGGGGGCGGGAGGCTGTGGCCTAGGAGAGGAAGGACCTTGGCCAAGCTTCCAGCTTGGATCATGGGACACCTCCTTCCCAAGCGTGGCTGGACCACAAGAGGAAGAGCACTGAAGGTCACCCCCCCTTCCACTCCCCTCATGCCCTCCACCCTCCGGCCCGGGGCAGTGGAGGGATGACAGGAAGGAGAAAAAGTTAGCGTGGGAACGCTCGGCCCGGGCTTCCTGAGCTTGCAACTTGAAGCCGGTTGCCCTCTGGACCGGGAGATGGCGCTGTTCTCTTGCAGGTTGCTGCAGGGGTAGGACGCGGCCTCACTTTCAGGGTTGTTTTGGAAGGAGTTGGGGTGGGAGAGAAGGGTTCGGGGTTGTGGAAGCCTATCTCTTGGGTTTAGTGACTTCTTTCTGGAGCTCACCCCAAGCCTGGAGGTTACTTCTTTTTACCATGCGCTTCCAACGCCTTCCCAGGGCAGGGCCGGGAGCGCCCCCTTAGCAGGCAGATCCCCTAAAGTAACCGCTGGATCTCTTCTAGGTCCAGGAGCCTAGGGAAATTCCGATGGGAAGATAGATCCATCCTCTCAAGATCATACAACTGATCCCACCACATAGTTCTGCATATCGTTTAAAGGTGCTCGTGGCCCTCAGGTAAAGCCTCCCTGAGCAAGTCCCATTCCATTTCTGGGGGAGGAAACAGGCCTGGAGAAGCCAACGAATCCCCAGAATTTCAGCATGGCGTGAACACTAGCACCTACCTTTGACCCTCCCGACGGGGGAGGGTGTGATTTAGAGTAGACAGCCGCAGAGGGAGCACGCACAGCTGCTGTAGGGCCATGAGCAGGAGGGGGCCAGGGTCCTTGGTCCCCTTCCCAGGGCTCTCTCCGAGGCTCAGAGAGAGAGACGACCCCCCCCCCCCCCCCCCCCCCCCCCACCCCCGGCTAGCTCCCTGCCAGCACAGGGAGGGCAGAGGTTGCCTCCCTTGCACTCCTCAGTAGAGGTCCCCACCCTGTCCCAAGCGTCGGGGTGGAGGGTGACAAGGATGGGGGGTGAAGAAGGTTGACAAGGCCAAATGGAGTGGGACTAGCGAGATGGGTGAGGTTGCACAGAGGGGCTCACTCCGTCTGTGTCTCCCCCCCCACCTCTGGTATCCATCTCTCCACTCTTTTAGGCCTCTTGTCTCTGGCTTCCAGACTCCCCCTCTTTTCGCATCTCCCCGAAGTCTATCCACGGACAGACCATCTATGCCAGGTTACGCTCAGGCTGAGGTGGAGGGAGGGAGGGAGGGCATGTGTGGGTCAGACAATAGAGCCAAATGGGGAGCTGGCACCGGCAGGTGCCTGGGCATCCTCTGCCCGAGGCCAGTGGTACTGCTGGCCCAGCCACCCCCAGGATGGGCCCAGAGGAGGGCAGAGGCTCTGGCGGGGGCACCAGCTGTTCTCAGCCCCCAGGCTGTGGGCGTGCTGTTAGTGGTTCTGCTGCCCTCAGCAGTGTGGCAAATGGGCCAGAGAGGAGGCGGGGGTCCAGGCCGGCTGCCGACTGGTGGCAGGCACAAGTGGAGTGTGCAGAAAGCTTGGCTGAAAGGCTCTCACTCTCTCCAGTGGGTGGGCTTGCGATCCCTGGAGCCCCTGCCCCAGCGTCTTGGGGTGTCTCTGTTTCCATCTTGTTGGTTTGAGGCACTGAGGGACCCAGGTCGGGAAAGAGCCAAATTGGGAGGCAAGAGAATGATTTCTGAAATTGTCTTGGTCACCAATTTGCTGGGTGACCTTGGGCAAGTTACTGGTCCACTCTGGGCCTCAGTGTCCCTATGTATAAAAGAGGCAAGGTGGGGCTGGATAAGCTGTAATAACCTTGAGTATGCCACCTAATATCTCTGTGCCTCAGTTTCTTCATCTGTGAAAAGGGGAGAGCACCACTTTCCTCAGTGGGTCATCGAGGGGATTACATAAAGTTCCTGGCCTGGCTCTCCAGGCACAGCTGGTGCCTACTCAAGTGAGTTCCCCTCTCTTGAAGCCACTGGACTGGGTTTGTGACCCCTTTTTTCATTCCCACCGTCAGGGGTCCTAGAGAGGAGAGGTCATCTTCCTCCTCCCGCTCACCCACCGAGCTCCAGGGCCTTCCCTGGGTGAAGGGGCGCAACAAAAGCTCAGCGTCTGGCCCTACCTGGCCGACCTTGCTTTGGGGGGTGGGGGGCTGCAAGGCAGGAGCGCTGGGTGCCGATCAGGAGGGGCAGCACCCCCCCCCCGCATTCTGGCGGCACCGGCGTGGCCCTGGCACCCCCGCAGCCCGCCTCGCTCTCCCTCTGCGCTCCCCTCTTCCTATAAATAGCACAGGACGTGCCTGCCTCGGCGATGACGCGGCCAGGCGGGCGGAGGGGGAAAGAGGCGGCTCTGCGGCGGAGCAGGTGGGCGGCGGGCACTGATGCGGGAGGGGCGCCGCCGCCGGCCCCCTGCGTGCCAGGCTCTCCATGACGGGCGGCACTGAGTCATCGCCCCCAGTCATCTCGGGGGAGGGGGGCCCCTGTCGGCGACTGTCCGCGCCGCCTGCCTTCCTGCCTCGGGTCTTGGGGGCTGCGGGGGCGAGGCTGATCGCGGGTGTTTTCGGAGGCCACCGCCAGGTGCGCAGAGATGGTGCCGAGGCGCCAGCTGGGTGGCCGTCCCCCGCGGACGCACGTGTGCATCGAGCCAGACCGCAGCCGCACCGCACCCTCTCCCCTTGCAGCGTCCCGCAACATCCCACCCCACCCCTGCCCTGCTTTCCTCTCGAAATCCTCCCCAGATCCCCCATCTCAGGCTGCTGTCGGGGAAGGGAGCGGGGAGGCAGGGGGACCCCTGCAACGTCTGGGCCAAGCCCAGCGCCCCTCCTCTCAGAGATCCGCAAATTCTCCCACCTCCAGGCTTGTCTCCTTTTGGCACCTCCAGCCCCCGCCCCGCTCCTTGCACCTTTCCTTCCTCTCTCCCAAGCAGATACACAGAGCAGACAGATTGGGACAAGAAACATTTATTTAAGGGTCTGGGGGCTCAGCGATGCCCCAGCAGACCCGTCATGCAGCCTCATGTACAGTGGGCATTGGGCCCGCCCCTGGGATATCGCTGGGGGTGGGGGGGGCCCGTGGCAGCAAACAGGGCAGTGTGGCTTGAGCCCCCCTCCGAGGGGGACAAGTGGAGCCGGGGCCAGTGGGTAGGAGGATGTGTCCCTCCCCCTGTATGGGAGGGTGTGACTGTGCCCAGGATGGGGGCTGGCATTGGCTGGCACGATCAAGGGCACGAGAGGAGGCTCTGAGCTTGGGGGGAGAGGGAGCTTGGCACCAGAGAAAAGCAACCTGCAACGGAGGGGTCCTCCTCGTATGTGCCCACCCCACCCCCAGGGTGCCTACCCCGTTCCTTTCCTGGTGGCCAAACAGAATGACGGGGCTGCCTTGAGCATCTCCCACTCCCTCAGACACAGCCAGAAGAGGGACCCCTGCACTGAAGGGGGGGGTCCCCGTGTTTCCTGCAAGGCCTAGAGGAAGGGGGTGAGGAAGGGCCATACGGAGGGGGGCCCTGAGGGTGGGGCTCCCAGGGTGTGCCTCGTGAGACCTGGGACAGGAAGTAAGCACAGCTCCCCGGGCTGGCCAGCCCTGCCACCAGGGACCTCGAGAGAGTCCTGACAGTGACATGGGGGTTCTGACCAAGCACGGGCTCCGTCGGGCTTCTGTGTGCAGGCTGCTCCGGGGTGTCCTTCTCCAGGGGACAAGGGCACGATGAGGCTGCTCTGTGGTGACTGTTCTTGAGGAGACAGTCTCTGATTTACCCACGCTTTCCCTAGAACACGGCCCTCCCCTCCTCTGTCTGCCTGGGTTTCAAGTAAGGGGAGAGATTCCCGCAGAACTTTCCTGAGAATTGACGGAGTGAGAGAGGTGGTGAAACCAGGAGGTGGACTCAAGATCCTCCTGCAGCCCTGAATCGCCTCCCAACCCCTGGCGGCAGGGGGCTGAGGGACTCGGGAAGGCACCTTCCCAAGGCCCCACTTCCTTCCAAAGGGGCAGCCGCAGGGTCACACACGTAGACCCAGGCAGGGGCTCTGTGGGGAGAGGGGGATGGTGTCGGGCATGCAAAGGTGGTGTGGACATGGGAAGGCTCTCTGGACAAAGCAGCAGGAAAGTTCCCCAGGAACGCCCCCCTCCCCGGGGCTGCACTCAGCGTGGCAACTGGGGGTATCCGGGCATTGGCTGGACCTACCTGGAGCTTCCCCGTTCCCTCCCACTTTCTCCTCCTTCCTCATGCCCAAGTCCCAGAGGAGCAACTCCCTCAGGGCACCTTGGGACCCAAGAAATAAAACCTTCCTCAGTGCAGAAGGCTCCCAAGGCCCGGGGAGCGGCCCCTAGGAGAGAGGCAGAGGGCAGAAGAGTGTGGGCAGATGCCTGTTCCCCTCCGGGGTCAGAAGCAAGGGCCAGGCATGGGCAGGGGTGGCATCTGGCTTCTCTTGGCTCCTCTCAGATCTCGGTCAGGGCGTCGGCTGGCACCAAGCCCCGCTTCTTGCCACTGCTGACGCGGATGAAGCCGTCAGCATCCTTGCTCCTGCCCGCGCCCACACAGATCTGAGTGGGAGAGACACGGAGCTGAGTCCTGGCTCTGCCTATAGCCGTGGCCCCGAGTCCTGCTGATGGCTCCCAGGGGGCCACCCCAGGGGATGATGGGCCCAGGATCAGATGTGGTTGGAGACCTCAGCTGGGGTGATGGGTGCAGGTCCCCTGAGGGTAACTGGGCTCGGCAGTGAGATCAGGACATCAGCAGACGCTGAGCAGCTCTCCGGGGCTGACCTGTGAGATCAGCCGGCCGAACGCCCCGACTGAACTCCCATTTCACAGAGGAAGTAAGGGGAGGAAAGGGGCTTGCGGGAGCTTACACAACAAGCCAGAGGCATAGCCAACATTCAAACCCAAGCCTCCAGATTCCTCATCCAGTGCTCTTCCCCTCCCCCAAGCTGTCTCTAACCAAATTCAGCCCCCTGCCTTTGTTGGCCACCAGCCCCAATTCCCAGCAGATGACAGGAGGGCCCTGCAGCCCCACCTTCGAACCCGCCTTCCCTCCCACTGCCAGGCTGCAAGTGTCCTCCTCCAGGGCATTCGCCGCTGCCCCTGCCGCCTTGCTCCCATGCCCACCTCTCCGGCTGCTGCAGGGTCCAGGCACTCACCTGGTTCTCCTTGAGGCTCATGTACCCCTGTTCCTTGTGCCCAGAGAAGGGTTGGCAGCAGCGCCAAACGTTCTCACCTGGCCTGACTCGCTGCACAAAATTGGCTGGGAAGAAGCCAACCCGGTCGCCAATCTTGCCCTGGGGATGAGGCTGGCAATGAGCACCGGTGCCACCCCCTCCCACATTGCTTCCTCTAGACTTGATGCCCGTTCAGAGCCAATGCCATCAAACTCCAGATCCTGGGCTTCCTGTATCCGAACCCCCAGTAGGGTGGCTTCTGCACTGGGAAGGGCGTGAAGTGAGCAGAGGGACAAGGCTGAGGCAGGGGGGGTCAAAGTGAGAGCAAGTCCCAAGTGTTGGTCCTAGGCTTGGCAAGGGCCAGTGGCTGGAGGAGTGGGGGAGGTCTTTGGGCCTGGAGAGAAGGTGGGGCAATGCCCACTGAAGGTGGGGAATGGTGAGGTGCCTACCAGGGTCCCTCTCCTCCCCACCCTGCCAAGTCACCTTCCACCAGTCCTCGTTAGAGTCATCCACCAGCATGATCCGGTCCCCAGGCCTGGGAGGACAGAGCTGGGATCGCAAATGGGCAGGAGGGACCTGCCTTTTCCACATCTTAACCACCTGGGGCCCCCAGATCCCCAGCGCGCCCCGCCCCCCGCAGCTGGGGGAGGATTCTTGATGCCGTCAGAGGACACTGTGACCACAGGTACAGCAAACACTTTAGGGCAGAGCCCGGACCGAGGGCAGGAGACAGGACAGTAGCACCAGTCCCTTTTGGACTCTGGGCAGTCCAGCTCCTCTCTGGGCTTAGCTGTCTCATGCATGCAGGAGAAGGTTCCTGAAGGTCCCCCTCACACTCATGTTCCAAGCTCTGGGAGCAGGGCCCTGAGCTTGGAGCCCGGTGGCTGCCCAGTGGGGCTGGACCACAAAGAGGACTTACTGCAGAGCCAGGTCATTGTTCTCTTGGGGCAGAAACTTGTAGAGCGCGACGTAGGAGTACATGGGCCCCACGTCCTTTCGCAGAGGGGGCTTGGGGGGCTGTGGAAGAGCTCTGGGTCAGTGATGAGAGGGGGACACTCTCCTCACTCCACCCACTGTTCACTGGCCCTGACCTGGCCTACCCTGGGGGAGCTAGGAGGTGGGACACAGTGCACCTGGGTCCGTGACAGGGAGAGGTCAGGTTCTCCTATCTTACCGTGTTCATCCTTGGGGGTCTGGGCCAAGGTTGGAGAAAGAGAACTCTCCTCTGGTGGCTGCACCCCAGAACGGCCCACTCTTGGGGAGTGGGCACAGCAGACATTGGCTCAGTGGTGGGAGGGGTGGTACCCCCTGCCTTCCTTGTGTACTCACCCTGGCATTGCCCATCCCCGTAGACTGAGGATAAGTGACGGAGCAGTGATACTCCCACTCACCATGCTCTCACCCACCTATGGATCAATGACAGGAAGAAGTGACATCCCCTTCCCATCTGGCCTCCCAGGGCTCAGTGCCAGCATAACCTCACCTGCTGTCTGGGGCTCTTCTCCTCCGGTCCTGACCCTTCACTCTCGGCCGGGGCTGTGAATACTAGAGATGCCAGGGCAGGGCCGGGCCGTGAGGCAGCGGGGAATGGCCTGCCCTGTGCTCTGTTCCTGCCCCTGGTCCCCACCGCCACTCACCACTGTCTCCAGGGCCCTCCTCTGAGCTGCGGATGCTGCCTTCCCCATCCTCAGTCAGCTCATCCCGCTCACTCTGGGGACAAAGGGGGAGGGCTCAGCTCCTGGACCCTCATCCTCAGGGACCCCTGCCCCCCCAGGCTCCCCTTTGGTGCCTGACATACCAGGCTCCGCGTGGGGGACTCAGAGGTACTGCTGAAGCTGGAGCGGTTCATCAGTGCCAAGGAGGTGCCATAGCGCAGGGTCTCGTAGACGGGGTCTACCTTTCCGCTGGCTCCTGCCAAGGAGCCACCCTCAAGGTCAGGCACCCAGCTGCCAACCTTGCTCTGCCCCGAAGCCCTGTATCACTTTCACTCCCTCGGCCCCAGCCAAGACGTCCTTTCTTTAACTCCCTGCCCCATCCCACCCCAGGCCCCTCTCTGCCCACACCAGCCTTCACCAGATCCTGCTGGAATTACTCCTCATCCTTCGTATCTCTGGACGGCTTCCCTCTCCCCGCGGAGGAGGACCGTGCCGACTTGACTCTCTAGTCCCTATCCTTCTCGGTTCAGGCATTCACGAGAATGGTGATTAACTGACGATTTGTGTGGTTAGTTCTTTCACGTCTAACTCCCTTACTAGACCATGAACTTCACCTTCTTCAGTGCCGTGTCCTCATGTCGACAGCACAATGCCTGGCACTAGTAAGTGTTCCATAAGATGTCTGTTCCATAAGATATGAATGAATGCATGCCCCTACATTCAGGCCAAGGGCATTCAGAGCAGGGAAGTGCCAAGGACTGGTGGTGCCACGTGACTCAGGTGCCTATCTGACGAATGTGTGGGTTTCTCATCACACCCCAGCAGGATCAGGGGCCATGGGGGGACACTCACCAGTGGGTGGGGACTCTCTGCTTGTGACACAGGCTGGGGGTGGCTCATGCACCAGGAGCGGGGAGCTGAAGTTGCGGCGGAAGGAGGACTATGGCGAGAGGGAGCAGAGAGAGAGAGAGGGCATGAGGGTGTCACAGCCCGCCAAGAGCTTGTCCTTCCCCAAGGCCCAGGACCACCGCACAGGAGGAACCAGCCTGGAGAGGGGCAGTCATCCCCCCCTCAGGCCAGTTGTGAGGGGGCACCCACAGCCAGCCAGCCCTGCATGGTCCCCACTCACCGCCTTGCCAGGGCACGGCTGGCGGGAGACCTCCTCAGAGCACCAGAGGTGGACACTCACTTTGCATGCCTTACACCGCAAACCCTGCTTGGAGTTTCCTGGGAAGGATTTGGGTTCAACAAGAAGGATTAGGCAAAAGAGGATACATCCAGGGGCAAGGAGCAAAGGGGGCAGGTTAGGGCATCGGTGGGAGAAAGGGGTTGGGCATCCTCACTTCGGCCTGGGGGCCTAGTGCCTCCCCCTCATACACTTGCCGTGTCAGCCGAAGCCTGAGCTGTTAGTAAATGCCACGACACTGGGCACCCGCCCACCCCAAGGCTGCTCATTTGTCCACCCAGGGTGAGGGGCACAGTTAGGATGGAGGGCCCTGCATAGCAAGAGTCCAACATCGGGCATACTCCCCACCCCCACCCTGACCTCTCTCCTTGACACCCCCCCCCCCCAGGCACCTACCCACGATGAGCTGGTGGCAGAGCTCACAGGGGCTGGCTCTCTTGAAGACATGTTCCTGGAAGCTGTGCAGTCTTACTGGTTTGAGTGATGCCAGGGGCCGTGGGATGGGGCAGGGGGAGGGGGCCGGGGTTGGGAGGCCCCCGTCTGTAGATGCCGGTGGTGGGGAGGGAGGGGGCAGCGGGGTTGGGGGGGTCAGCAGCACCTCAGTGGGGCACTTGAGCTCAGAGCCCGAGCGAAGGAAGAAGTTCTCCACGCTCTTACTTCGGAGGATGGTCTTGAGGGAAAGCGAGCGCTTGAACCGCTGCAGCTGAGAGAGGAAGTGGGGCTGTAAGTGAAAGCCAGAGGGGACTGGCTCCGGGCCAGGATATCTCCTTGGTCAGCCGCAGCCTCGAAGTACTAAGACAGAAGCTGCCCTGTTCCAGAAGGCGGTCCCAATCCCAGATGCCGACAGGAGCCAGGTGCGTAACGTCCATGAGCAGAGGAGTTCTGGCTGGGCAGGCACAGTTGGGAGTGGTGAGCACTGTGACAGGCTGGATGGCCAGAAAGCAGCTGCTGGGGTCCCCTGGACAACCGGGGCTAGTCCACACGGCCAGCCCAGTGGCACCAGGCTTTCCAATTTTTTCCAAAAACAAATCTAGACTTTTCTGTGAATTTGGATAGAAATAAATTCAAGAGGTTGTATTTCCTTTTTTTTTCCATTGCAGAAATGGTAGTGTACTATGTTTCCTACGCCTTGCTTTTTTCACTTAACAGTAAATCTTGGAAATCATTCCATACCAACACATAAAGAGCTTCATCATTCTTGTTTATGGCTACACAGGATTTCATCGTATGGGTGTACTATTTACTCGAGTTAAACAAAATAATACTTTGGGGGCCGAACAAACACATGAGGTTTTCCACCTGTGTTCTCAAACAGGCTGGGAGTGGGGGAGGGGTCATCCCGGACCCTCATCCTCAGGGCTGATTCTTCCTCCAAAATCGCTCTCCGGCCCATCCCCTATAATCACCTCATCACCTCCACAGCCCTGCCCCGGTTCAGGGCCACAACCCCTTGCCTCCACCCTGCCCATCTCCCCCTGCTTTCCCTACAGCTGCCAGGGAGGTGATCCCTGACCTGGCTAAATGCTTGGCTCCTCAGGACACAGCCAAGACCCTTGCCCCAGTCGTGAGACTCTGCAGCTTGGCCAAGGCTTCCCTTCCAATCCATGCCTTCCGCCTGCCGCCCAGACATAGGGATTCTCCAACTCGTCCATGTTTATTCCTCTGGGCTTTCCCCGCCCCCACCCTGGCCTTTTTTGTTGTGCTTCTCCTTTTCTCTGCCTTATCCAGTGAATACCCCCTTTATCCTTCAGGGTTTCCAGTGACTGTTCCTCCTCCGGGAAGCGGTCTCTTCTTCTGCAGGAATTCCGTTTAGTATAACCACTCCCTCCTCTGGGCTCCACTGCACCCAGTACTGACTTCCATTATAGATCCAATCTGGTTTACGTTGTCATTTACTTCTTACTCCCCCAGGAGCCCGGAGCCCCTCGAGGGCAGGGACAGTTGAATCAAATCCCCACACAGAGCCCCAAGACATAGTAGGTGCTCAGTCAATATTTGCTGATTAAATGATGGGCAAGCGCCTGGAATCCGAAATGGAGCCCATGTTCTGGAATGCTGGGTCAGTTCTACACTGAGGCCAGAGTTCCTTCCATTGCTCACCCCAACACATCCTTCTCGGGGTCTGCCCAGAGTGACATCTGGAAACATCTCTACTCAGATCCTTGAACCTCTTCCCCCCTAGTGAGAGCCCCTTTACCCCCTGCCCACTCCTTCCCAGCAGTGATCGGTAAAGAGGGCCAGAGGCCTGGCTTCAGGCAGGGAGAAGTGGTCGGGGTTCCCAGCTGGCACATCAAGCAGCCTGCGTGACCGCAGGGAGGCCAGCAGGCAGCAAAACATGGGAAGAAGCGGAGAGGGAGAGGGAGACGTTTGGGCACGAGGCAGGTCCTGGTGTGCCGGCTGGGAGGCCAGAGCCCTGGGGTTTCTGGCACGCTGAGTTGCCCAGCTCCTTCCAAATTCAGCTTCCTGTGTGGCACTGTGGGCTTCTTTGTGTGTGAGAAGCAGGGCCCCAGGCCCCAGATCCCTGGGTGTTAGGGCAGAGGCGGAGGGCCACAGGGACAATTCATTAGAACACAAAGGCATTCTATGAGCCAGTGTGGCTCTGGGGGCTCTCACAGGCCCAGAGAGGCAGGGAGAATCCCCCCCCCACCCACCATTCTGCCCAGGGGACAGAGCACAGAGCACAAGAGGGCTCCGGGAGGATGTGCTGGGGGTGGCTGTAAAACTACACCTGCTGCCTGAAGGCAAGTCACTTCACTTCCCGTCTCTGAGCCTCAGTTTCCCCAAATCCAAGAGGAAGGAGGCAGGACTAGATGCTCTCTAAGCAATGCAAGGCTCTGGGTCCAAAAAGTAAAAACCTAAAGCTATAATGAGGGGCGGTCATTGTCAGAATACGGGGATCGGGCTAGCGCTTCATCTGCCTCCCCTCATTAATCCTGGCACTTCCCTCTGAGACAGTGATAATTATTGTCCCACTTTGCAGATGAACTCACAGGTGCCTAGGAGTTAAATCACCTACATGTGATGAGTCTTCAGCTGGTAAGTGGCCAAGCTAGAACTGAACCAGCGGCTTTGGTTGTTGAGCCCAAATGACCCGAAGGGTCCCGCTGCTCTGGGCTCTGCCTTGGCCCTCACCCCTGCCCCTCGGCTATGCCATGGGCTTGTCCGCCAGGTCAATCGAAATCTAGGGTTGGAAGGAACCTGCAAGACTCGTCACCTAGAGTAGTCCCCAGCCCATGCTATCATCCCACAACACCTTGGCCACGTCCCCTCCGAACAGTTGTCTGACTCTGTGGGTCACCTCCCGTGGCAGGAAGCACACCCTCTCCTGGGACAGTCATCCCATCTTTGGGCAGCTGCAATCGCTGCAAAATGCTTCCCTATATAGAGCGGAAACCTGCCTCCCTGAGATCTTGTTGCCTAGCGGCTCTGTTCTTCCCTTGGCTCCAGAAAGGGCTACTCCCTCTTAGCTATCAGTCCTTCAAGTATCTGAAGACATCAGTCGGGTTCCCCTTCCCCTCCCAAGGCTGTTATTTCCATGGTAATCCCCACAGGATGAGATTTGAAACCTCCTTACTCTCCAGCCTCTGCCCTTTCCTGGTCTTCCCCTGGCCTCAGTGCCAAGAGCCACCTCTGTACGGTACAGAGGTCTCTGGAACAGAATGTTCCCCAGCACTGAGGCAGCCCCACTTCTGCTCCTGACTCCCTGGCTCTGCTGTGGGCCCCAGATCCCAGGAGGGCAGAGGAGTGGGAAGGAATGGTTGGCCGATGTCAAGGGTTGTGGCTGGACAGCAGGATGGGGGCACCTCTGCCAAATGGCTTGATGCCTGTCCACTCAAGAGACATCTGGCTTGGTTACTAAAACCTCATTTTGGCTCAACCTGGCCAGGTAGTCCCACTCCTGGGACGCCTAGTTCCCAGAGAGGACTTTTCCCTGACTCCCATCAGCTATCTTTTTGGGGCCCCCGGGTCCCAGGACCCGTTCCCTGGCATGGGGAGAAGCTGCCATGTACCCTGGCAAGCTGACCCACCTGGATCCTATTCTCTCCGGGTGTTCCAGGAGCTTGTCTGGCTTGGAACCTGGACCACCAGGCCCCTTCTTCTAAATCCCCTCCCAGAGGCTGGGCCTGGCCTGCCTGCCTCCTCCTCACCTCCCCACATACTGGATGGTCCTTTCATTTCCTCAACTCCCCACAGCATCTCCTCACTTCCCTCCAGCTCCTGAAAGGGCACCAGGCAGCTGGCGGTGGGTGGTGGTGGTTGGGGCACAAGCTGACTCAGATGGCAGAGTTGGCATGGCAGGGTCTTCCCAAGGATGGCACCAAAGGGGGTGATGGTACCACCCCGTGGTAAGATGGCATGGGGACCCAGAGATGGCAATGATGGCACCAGGAGGGTCACTGAGGAGCTTGGGTGCAGGGATATGATCCAACCTTAGCGTGGGCAGGAGGCTGGACTTAGGTTGGCAAGAAATGCCCAGGGGGCCCCCAGCACTGATGAATAAGCCTGGAATGTTGGCTTCACTGCCTAATGGACACCAGCCCCCTCTTTGGATCTGCCTCAAACTCTCCCTTCCCCCTTCCCCAAGCCCTAGAGTCTGGAGACCAAAGCTTCTTTGGGACAGGTTGAGGTGTGGGGAGCTAAAGGGGCTGGTAGGGCCCTGAATTCTCTCCCTGCCCACCTCTGCCTTCCTGAATACCTCCACCCAGACCCCCAGCCCAGCCTGTGTTGTGATCACAGTCCTTCACAAGGGTGAGATTTAGGGAAGGGGGGCAGAGGGGCAGGGCGAGGTATGTAATCCCCCTCCTCTCGCTCTTGGGATCTCTGTGGCTCAGAGGTGATAGCACTGGATGGTTCTTGTGCTGGGAGGAGGGAGGCAGAGACCGGCCAGGTCTTGACCTCCCCCTGCCCACACAGCTGAGCTTGCAGGCTGTGGGGTTGCTGAGGCAGCACTGCTCCAGCTTTCGGAGAGCTCTTAAGAAGCGGGGCAGGCAGCCAGACCTCCTGTGGGAAGCAAGGAAGGGCCTTGGGAAGCAAGGGGAATGTATCTGTCTGTCATGGGTGACTACAAGGCACCTGGGAAGGCCAGGGATATTGGCACTCAGGATGGGGCTCAGCTCCTGGGACTCTCTGCTTTAAAAAAAAGCTGTCACAAATATTCCAAGCAATATCCTCCCTTACTCCTTTCCTAGTAGAGACTTGGATCTCTGGGGGGGAGTTAACTCTGTGGTCTGAGAGACCAGAGTCTCATTCTCAGAAGGGGGCAGAAGAAGGTCAAGTTCAGATCTGAAGACTGACATGGAGACCCAGTGGGTCTCACTGGTTTAGAGACGAGGAGCTCCTTGGGGTGTCTCAGCCAGGCCCTACCCTGCCCCTACTCATCTACTCCTGGTCACTCTCTAGATGACCTTGACCTTGAATTAACCTCATTATCCTGAGGGGTGAACTGGACAGAATTAGGAGGAAGATGGGCATTGGAAAGAGCTATAGACGAGCTCTTGACACCTGGAAGGAGCCAAAGACCCCACCCATTTTTTTTGGTCTTCAGTGCCCCCTCCTCGACTGGATAAACAGGAGCAGTTGGGAACAGAACACCAGGTGCAAGGGAGAGGGAAGGAGGCCTTGGCCTGAAGTCTGGGGAGGAGGCAGAGAGCGCCCTTGACACAGCCTTCTTTTCTCTCCCCATCCCCAGCCAGCTCAGCTCATGTTGCTCCCCGCAGAACTTCTTGCGGGTCACTAGTGAGCACCTAGAACTTGGGGAAGAAGGGGACAGATTAGAGGTGGGGGGGCATTAAATTTAAGTGGTGGCCTCCACCAACCCCTATAGCGCCAGGAGTCTGGGCTCCGCCTGCCTTCACTGGGGAATAATTTATTCATTGTGACTCCCGCAGAAGTAACGATCATACATAATTAAGGTTAATTATGACATTCATTAATTATGATGACTTCTCTTTTTGCTTCCACCCACCCACCCTCCCCCGCCCCCTGTCCCGCTCCCGGGGTGGGGGGTGGGGCTGCCTGTCCTTCTGCTCTGGAGACGAGGCAACAGTCCCCCGGTCCCCTCCCGCGATGGCCAGAGCTGTCGCAGCCCCCAGCGCGCACTCGGGAGCTACGCACCCCCGGGCCGCGGCCTCACGTCCCCGAGCCTAACCTGGCTGGGAGGGGGGAATGCAGGACTGCGGCGGGTCCGAGAGCGACATCCGGAGAGCCCAGAGATAAACATATATAGACGCCGAAAGAAAGCGGGAGAGACACCAAGACAAACAGGTTGTAGAGACATTTTCGGAGAGACACAGGCAGAGAGGGACAGACCGAGCTACAGACAGAGACCTGGCAGACGCGGGAGGGGAGCGCCTCGCACGCACACACCGGCGCGTACACCGGCCCACACCCGCTACACACCGCTACACACTCCCTCCGCCTTCGCTGCGCCGATTCCCTCCAACAAAGCCGAGTTACAACCTCCCCGGAGGGTCGCGGCAGCGCGTCCGCTCATCACGCGCGCAAGGGCGTGTCGTGCCTGTGTGATGGGGGCTCCCTGTGGCCCCTCGTCGCGAACCCACTCGCCCCGGTCGCCGCGCAGAGCCTCCGGGATCACCCGGGTCCCGCTGCCGTGACCCCGCGGCATCCGAGCCCACAGTGGTGACCGCGTCGGGGAGAGGGCACCCGGGCTGGGGACGCACCGGGCAGGGGTCCAGGCCTCTCGCCTCCTGAGTTACCTTGGTTTCCTGGAGGGCAGAGACGGTCCCCGGGGGGGTGTGGGTGGCCGCGTCATCCGGTTCGTTCTCCTTCTCGCTCATTTCGGTCATGGTTGGGGGAGAGCGGGAGGGTGCCAAGACCCGACGGCAGGCCCGCTGGGGGCAGGTTGCAGGTGGCAGACGTCTCTCTGGAACCCTGAGGCCCTTCTCCAGAGACTGCCCCCCAGTGAACCCCAGGAAAAATCCGCCCAGGCAAAGCGACCCCCCACGGCCGGGAGCGGGCGGAGAAAGTTCCCGGGTTGGCCAGTGAAGAGGGGTAATTACACGGAGCCGCGGGAGCCGGACGATCCCGGGAATGAGGACCGAGGGTCTGCAGAGGATGCTGCTCGGAGCGAGGGGAGGAGGGAAGTGGGGACGCGGGGATGAGCTGAGGGAGGGAGCGACGGAGCAGTCCGTGTCCGGCCGGCTCCGCCGTCCTCGGCGCCCGCCCCCCCATCCCTTTCCCCCTCCCCCCGCCGGCCCCAGCCCGGCACCCGGGTCCCCTCCGCCCAGTCCTCGCCTTCCAACTTTGATTTAGGAGGTCGCCTGGTCCCTCCCCCTTCCCTCCGCGGCTCCCCCGCGCCGCTATGCAAATCAGCTCCTCAGCTATTGGCTGCCGCGGTGGCCAGGAGCGTGAGCTGGGCGGAGCCTGGGGGGGGCTCGATAAGATGGGGAGGAGCCTGAAGGGTAAAGATGTGGGTAGGGGGTAGTTTTACTCCTAAAGACCCGGAATGGGGGTCGTGACAAAGTCGTGGAAGACTTATTAGAGTCTGGATGGGCTTGAGGGGAACAGAAAAAGGTTGGATCTGCAGAAGGATAGCTGAGAGTGACATCAAAGTTAGGACTTTCTAATAGCGAAGTAGTGGAAGAATGTGGACCGTTCGGCACCATTAACCGGACGTCTCTGCCCTGGAGACTCCAAATATACACATCCCTGGACCATGAGAAGATGTCCTCATAGTGCTCAAGCAGAAGACTCTGCTCCTCAGTCAGAGAAGGGACAACTTAACATCATGTGTCAAAGGCTAGGCCTGACAATCCCTCCTTTGTGGATGCAGAGCGGGATTCCTTCCCAGGCTTGGCCTTTGGAATTCAGCAGAGAAGGGGCCTCAGTCCCCACAGCTAAGGTCCCCAAACCTCTCCAAGACACGTTCCCCTCCTAGACATCCTACCACAAATGGAGTTAGATCAGGGGGTAGGGAGATGTAGGGGGAAGATGGTTCTTACTCTCCAAGTTGTCCTCTGTCCACTTGGCCTGAAGGTACTTCTTCATGCATGTTGCTTACCTGCCATTTCCCCAAGTCCTCCTCCCTCACCTCCAGCCCTCTCTCTTCCTGCTCCTTTTGGCCCTGACCAAAAGGTCTAGCTTTATCTCCTGGCCTGTCCAAAGAAAGGGAGGTAGGTTGGGGGTTGAAGGAATCCTTCCTTGGGTGTGGGTGGAGAAACTTCTGGGTCAAAGTCTCCCTCCTCCAGGGGCTCCTCTGCTGTGGGTGATGAGATTGGGGGCGGGGAGGGTGTCACTGGTGGGGGGAGGTGGCACTCAAGAGGGTTCTGCCTTTATGACAGCCCTGAGGAACAGAGGCCGAACCCTGTGTCCTCCCTCCTGCCCGCCCCTGCATATAGCCATACATGCGATCTCTGTCCTCCCAAGAGCGAGCCCACCATTGGAGCACTGCTCAGGTTACTATGTGCAGGAATAGAGATTTATTTGTCAGTGGCAGAAATAGGATGAGGGGAGAACTGAGGGTTTGTGGTTGTGGGGGCTTAGTCCCTTCCCCCTCCAGATCCACCCACATCAGCTGCAGACTGACTCCGAGTGCTCGCTTTCCTGAAAGGAGCTTCAAAGGATCCTGGCCTCAGCCCACAGACCAGTCTCCCCAAAGGCGCATTCATTAGCCAGCCTTCTGCCAATGCCCTCTGAGGTGAGGGCTGCAGTCTTCCCTCTGGCTCAGCCCAGATTAGCCCAACATCCCTCCCTGGGCACTCAGACTTAGGGGTGCTTGAAGCACCCTGAGATAGGGTCATCAGGCCCTCCATCTAGCCTGGGCTGGAGCAAACAGGGGGCTTTTCTGTGTTGGAGACCTCCTGACAGGCGGTACCCCTGTTTCCCCCCAAAGAGCAGAGATTCTGAGTTTCTTAGACTCTAATACCTATATAGCCACGAATTAATTGTGTGGCCTTGGGTAGGTACCTAAACCTTTTAGAGCCTTGATTTCTTCATCAGCAACACAGAGGCAGTGCCTACCTCACTGTGAGGAGAATGGCTGAGGTAGCTCCCCTTAGCCCAGGGAAGCCTGCAGGGAAAGTTGTTTTCTTCTTTCCCTCCTTCTGAGAGACTGGTCCTTTCCCAGTGCTTTCGCTGGGGCAGAGAGAAGAAACAGCTTCCTCCTCTCACTTTCCTGTTAATTCATAAGGGAACCAGCTCCAAAGGAGATTCTAGGAGGGAAGAATTCTCTGGGGGAAGCAGTGCTCTGGGTGACCCAGGAAAGCCAGGGAAGTTGGTGGGCTCTGGGGCCCAACTGGTCTAGGCACCAGAAGCCCAAGATGGGGCCAATGCGGAGGAGGCAGGGGGCTGGATCCCGTGACCTCTGGATGTCCTTTCTGGCCTGCAGCCTTCATGCTTCAGAGCAGTCTTTCATGAACTAAACCTGAGTCATTGCCTCCGTGCTGACAACCCCCCCTGCAGTGACTGGGGACAGGGCAGGAGTAGCTAGCTCCTGAAGAAGGAACATTATGCCATCTCAGAGTCAGAGGGCAGATAGGAGGGGTGGGCTGAGCCAGGGGCCAAGTGCTATAGGAGGGTAAGTAGCAGTCACACCCAGAAGGGCTCCCTAGACCTCAAGTCATAACGGAACTACCCGGTGCCTCTTAATAGGACAGCCAAATGAGTGAAAGTGGGTGCTAGGCTCTTGGGGGCCTGGGGACAGAGGGATGGACCAGATGACTCCAAATCTGTGCACAGCACAATGTCCAGCACATGAAGAAAGACTGGTTCTCATCCCAGTCTGCCCTTTTCTTCCTTTTCTTGGGCAGAGACCTATCCATCTCTGGAGGGACTTTGGTTTCTTTCTTTTTAGATTGGCAGAATTGGAGTAGATTAGGTTGACATAGGGAGTCAGATTAGAATGGGGGCAATAATTGTATATCTCTTAGTGTTCTTTTGAGGATAAATGAGTTAACATATGTAAAGAGCTGGAAAGAGTAAGGGCACAATAAATAGTTTCTACCTATCTATCTACCTATTTATTTATTTAGGGATACTTAACTTTGAGCTTGCAGGCGAGCTTCAAGGAGTTCATGAATCCCTTGAAGCTGGTAGAAAATGTTGGAGGGTAAGCATTTTCTGGGGGCGAGTCTAGAGCTTTCACCTTCTCCTCAGAGAATCTAAGATCCCCAAAAGATTAAGAACTACTGGCCTGAATGATCCCCAGGACCCCTCTACTCTGAGCGGTTGATTCTCTGATGGGAGGGATTGCTTCTCCTTCCATAAGGACTGACCTCTTTTCTCCCTTGAACAACACCTTCAGCTCAAGCCCCTCCCTGCCGTGGCCTCTGAGCCCCTGAGTTGCCAAGGACAGCCCAAGATGAAAAAGTGAGTGGCTGGTTTTTTCTCCAGCTTTAGAATTGGTTCTCCTAGGGTGGGGAGTCTGTCATGGTTGAGGTCAAGTCTGGTTCTCATCTCCCAGCTGGGGAAAGGAAGAGGGCCCAGGCTCCGTGGGGCAGGGGACACAGGGAAGACAGTGAGAGGCCTGGCCTCCCCTCCCTCCCCCTGCCGGCCCACCCCCAGGGCCCCAGAGGCAGATACCACTCTAATGAGCTAAGGCCCATGCAGGCAACGGTAATTATGATTTTATGAAAATATAGAAGGCTCTTACGCAAGTGCCTGGCTGTGGCATCTGGGACAGCCAGGTCCCCAGGGGCTGGAGGAGAGCCCTTCCACCACCCCTGCTGCCACCAACCCCTGGAGCTCAGGACACTGGCAGAGAGCCGCCCTCCCACTGCCTGTGGCACTGTCCGCAACACACTCTGGGTGAGCCATTCCCTCTCTCTGTGGCCCAGGCTCCCTGGAGGGGAACAACATGGGCTCCAGGATATGCAATCCCTCCTCCCCTCCGCAGCCAAGCTGAGGCTGTCCCGGAGACCTGTCCTCATGGGAGGGGGATGGTGGCCTTGGGATTACCTCCCTCTCCTCTATGAAGAAAACCTCTCCTTCCTGAAAGATGTCCCCTTCTATTCTGTTTCTTTTCTCCTGGGGGCTGGGGCCATAGGGCTGACAGCAGCCAGGGGGCCAGGAGTCACAGCCCCTGGCTGCACCCTCCCCAGGCCCTGTGCTGGTTTGCCGCCCACCACCTCCCAGGCCTCTGATGGTGTCCTCCCCACCCACAAAGCCTCTGTTACCAAGGTAACAGCAATGTCATCAGTTTGGGGTGAGCAAGGAGGTGGAGCCAGTGGACTGGTGGAGGGGGTGCTGTTAGGGGTTAGAATTTTGGAGAGATGAACATTGAAGGGCCCCCCAACTCTTAAGGAGGATCGTTTGCTGGAGAGCTGCCTGGGCACAGACTGGAGCAGAAGGTTGCCGAGAGCCCATGGGAAAGAGGGCGGATGAAGTCTGAAAGCAGCTGGATCCAGGTGTTAGAGGTGAGGGTGACCTGGCCTTACTATGCTGGAGGAGCGTCAGGGTGGCGATGCCAAGGAGAAGTTGAGGCAGGGACAATGGAGCCTGCCTTTAACTCCTCCCTCAGGGTCCAGCTTGTTAACTTGTCCTGGGGAGAGGCATTCAGGCTGGGAGAGTCTGGACCCAGCTGAGGCCGCGTGGGGGGCCTCGGGCCAGCCTGGGCCCACACCGCCCCCTGCAGACTGCACAGAAATCTGCACTGGATGTCCTTCCCGGAGGGGCGTCTAGGTGGCGTCTTTGAAGGTCTACATTTGACACATCTAAACCATGAGGTCCTACTAAGTGCCTCGAGCGGCTCTGGGCACCAGGGGCACCTGAGCCTTGCACTCAAGGCCTTCTTGTAAATCCTGACCCAGAGAGCACAATAATGCAAAGGGTTTTTCTGAGCCGACTTGGG